CCATATCACCAAGGGAGAGACAGAAATACAGTTTACTTCACCAATCAAATAAACTTGTTTGAATTCTATAATGCAGAAATACCAAAAATGAAGTAAAATGATCACTAAAGGAAGCTAACTTATACAGGTCACTTAATTTTATGAAAGCAAGAGTAGAAAATCCATGCTGCAGAGTAACACTGATGCTGTTTGAGATGTAAGAACAAATAAATAAGCTACCAAAGGATGTTTTTTACTACAGAGTAAAGCTCTTCCACCCCATTCCATTCAAATGCCTCATGCAAAACATTCAAAAGAATCTGATACTGAGATGCAGTGCTATGCAACAGACCAATCCCAAATGACAGCTAAACAAGCAAGAGCAGCACGATCATCATCCATGTAACCGGCACACAAACCAGAATGTGTAGAGCTGTGCCAGAACCAGCAGCATTACACGGAAGCTGTCACAATCATTTATAAAGGATTGATTGCCTCTGTGCTTGAAAATTATTCTACTTCTCTAGGTTGTTTCACACATTTTGGTCTGTGTCAGGAACGAACCTCATGATCATTAGAGGTCTCCTGTTCATTTACTCCAAATTGTCTCCAACCTCTAATCAGCTATTAAATACAATATTCTATTAACTGAAATTTTTCTCCCATACCCCAGTATTGATACAAAAATAGCTATCTTCTCCAGCACTTTTCTCTCTGAACATCCTCCTTCTACCAAGCCACCAAAAGACTCCTAGTTTTATTAGTAATTTAAAAATCAAGAATGTCTGTTTCCTGATCAGCTCTCAGCTCTTATTAGTCTTTCTGATGCCTGTGATCACATCCCATTTGCAATATTTTTCAAAATGAGTGAGGGGAAGGCATTCACTTGATGGGTGGGCTTTTTTTTTTTTTCTTGTTGATGGTCTCTTCCAAAATGCCTACCGTGTTTTCTTTTACACTATTAAAAGTTTCTGAGCTCTCACACAGGAGAGATCAGTAATTCTCTTTATTTTAAGGGCTATTTAGCTGTTCAGTCCAAATTATACACACAAACTCTGTCCTCATTTGCCTTGCCTAACACCTTTTGTTCAGTAGTCTCCCCATTCTACAATTAGAAATTACTGTCCTGGCAACTCCTTGCAGTAAATCATCCAGCAAAAGTCAATCAGCAAATGCTGTCAGCTATTACAGTACCTGAAATGTAAAATTCCCCTGCAAAACTCCCCTTTTAAAGCTGTGTTCAACAAGCTTAATAGGGTTATAGGGGTTCCTATTAGGTGAAATGCAAAAGAAAATTGCATTACTGAAAGGCAATCTATATGAAATAGGCAAAGAACTGACTTCTTGAAAAAATAAAGAATTGAGAAGTCTATCGATTTATCATTTAAACTATGCATAAGTAATGCAGCTCCCTATGCTGTAGTGTCAAACTGAGTATTCATAGTCATAAAGACATACTAAACTATTAAGCAGAACATTACTTACAAAATATTGGCCAAGACTCTTTCTAAAAGAATATTACATTACCCTCCTAGACTTACTCCTTTCAAGCATGAAGGCTCCTTATCCCAGCTGCAGCTTTTATCCATGTTTCCTCTCACTCAATATCCCTCCCCTCCCCAGGTGTGTCAAGCCATCAATCTTCATTAATTCCCCTCAGCACATGCTTCTTTAATTAGCTTTATCAATGTTAATCCAAAAAGAGATTACTAGAAAACCAGAAAGATATCTGCACTGCTTGTAAACAAACCCATCATCAGCTTATCAAAAGTATTTTGTGTCTGAAGTGTATTATTTCTCTAATTTAGAATGTACACGCTTGGGGCCAAGAATCACATCTCTCACTATTTTTATACATCACTCACACATTGTTTTATACATCTTGCATTCTGACTGCACTCAGGTAAACAAAATATCCTCACAGCAAACTTTCTCTAAGTTAAAAAAAGCCCTTTGACAGTTGGTGCTTATTCATCACTAAGTCCTTGTTTTAAACGATGCTTTCTTCTTTTCTTTCTCTGCCATTTCACTATGCTGCCAGCTGACAGTAAAGATTTTTTTTTATTTATTCATTCAAAACAAAGTAGTGCATGAGACACAAACTTCCTCTTGTAAAAACTGAAAATGGAAGTTTTGTGCAGTTTTTGTTAATCATACAAAGATATACATCAGAAAATCAAAAAGTAATCAAGTCCAAAACCAGAACAGGTTCTGATGATTCTCTAAGAGACACTTGCTACTTTTATTAATAGTATTTGATTTGCAATTTGAACATTTTAGCCCACTGTTTTTCTTGGCAAAACACCTTTTACTCCTACAGGATGCAATGTCTACAATTGTTGTCAATGTTTTCACAGATTTTTGTATTCACAACTTACTGATTTAATTTTGAATATTTAATTATTGCAATGTGTTAGTTCTATGAGTAAGAAGAAAGAACATGATTCTTAAATAAGCTAAATGCAACAGCCTGAGGTATATAATAAAGCAAAATACACCCAGCTGCTTAGTTCTTGAAAAAGCAATTATATATGGCTCTGAGTTCCTCATAAAATGTAACATCTGGTCTTCATTGCACCTGAAATATCAGGCTCTTTTACCTATCCTAGCATATGTATCTGTTTCCATTTGATTCTGGTATTGTTCTGAAGGAAATTACCAATTTCTGTTTGTAGAACTGCCCTTATCATGGGTAGGACTAATGTGCTTCCAAGTGAAAACTGCACTTAAATACTTAGCTTTTGTGCCTTCAGTGTAACACGAATCCATGCTGAAGTGGATTTGTCAAGCAGGATACTTTTCATACATCCATGGCATCTTTTGGGATAAAAAAGTCATTCCTAAGGCTAATTAATCTCTGATAAAACTCCAATAAATTCAGAAGAATTATTGCAATGATTTTTTATATATTTGAATTCAAATACCTGGCACAGAATTTAGGAACATTGTCCATTATGAGACAGAAATAAGCAAAATATAATTAAGCTGAAAGGGATAGTGTAATGGTGGACAAGCATCAGAAGGTATACAAGCATGAGAAGATCCAGTTTTCCAAAGCAACTTCAGTGCTTCCCAATTTGCATATAATAATTTCTGAAAATATTGTTTGACTGAATAATTCAACTTTCATGGTTCTTATGGAAGCTGAAACAAATATCAGTAGGAAATAATGAGTATATTTGAAAACAAACTACTTATTCATAGTGTCTTATTCTTGGCTGTTCAGTCCCACCGTTGCAGGTCTCCTAGCTACGGCTTCCCAATGGGCACTTTATTCACTGGGAGTTCTGTCTTTCCTGGCCTTTGCTTGTGGGGAAAACAGGTTATTGTCCTTAGCGATTAGTGAAGCATCTGGGTGTCAGCAGGTGGTGACAGATCTAAGTAGAAGAATATCTGGTAACAGAAATTGTTGCACCTTAATTTCCATAGCAGGTGATCTCTGTCAGGTGTTCTTTGAAACAATTTTTAGAGTCCTTTAAAGCTTTTCTCTTTGTGCAAGTTGGCCTCTGCAACTTTCTGTATTTGCCAGCTTTTAAGTTTCTCTTGCCTAAATAATAAGTAATTGATGAGGGCCATTAAATGTAGAAAGGCAGAGAGCAGCCAATGAAGAGAATGTGAATTCGAATGCACAGGTTGACTTGGGGTCAATACAGCTTCCTCTTAACACCCTGACAAGTATGCTCTCATTACTATAAGCAGCAAAACCTATTAAGTTCAACCCTTTATTTCAGCTTTAAGCTTTATTTCAGCTTAAAAACCAACTTGTTTTGATTAGGAAGCATAGAAGTTTTCTGGACATAATATTCTAGAAACATTCAATAAAAAAATTAAAAATAATATATTATGTTGGATTTCATTCCTCTCATTAGTGTTTAAATATGCAGATTTCTTAAAGGATGGATAATCTTATTTCCACTTAGTTTTGCTTGCAAGCAATGAACCCAATGGCTCAAATCAGAAGACACAGCTTGCAAAGCAAGTGGAAAAATAGAGATTTTCAGCTAAACAGTGTGGTTGTATTTAAAAGCAGAAGTGAGTGGGGTATTCACTGTTTATCAAAATTTCACAGATGTGTCTGTGAGTAACATTTTGCAAAGAGGGGAAAGTAGCTGAACAGCATTTGATCATTGTGTTTCTCAACCACATAGATTACTCAAAAAAATTACACACAAACTGCACAATGTGAAAAATTAATGCTTGCAGTGCAAGAGCACCACTTTAAATTGGATTGCCTATAAAATAAGTAATGATGACAGCTATTTTTTATAAGTATGATTTATGCCACTGTTCATCATATGGCATTATACAAAAATGCACAATTAGAGATGCAATACTCATTTCAGCTGTCTGCCAAACGCTATGCTATCATTGTAATTTARTAACTTTGAAGCAAGAGAGAAAGATGCTCAACTTGGTTTTTATCAATATGGAAAACTAATACTTAGAAGAAAACCTTTTTTCGAAATCAGTCTCTAAATTTTGTTGTCTTTCAGCATTGAACATAAATGCTTGGCCTGAATTCTACATACCTGTTTCCTACTGAAAGAGGGCTAAATAGCTTCTCTCTATATGAGCATGGTCATGAATTCGAAGGATATCTATAGGCAGCACAGACAAAAATTACTTTTCCTAGTTTTTAGGTCTCTGTCATCCTCTTAGGGACTATTTTTGCAGCAGTGTTTGTGTATACAGCCTTCCACAGTTACAGGCCACAACACCTTGCTCTTCTGGATGCAATGTACAAAGGATTAGTACTTGTAATTGTAGCATTATGCAAAAAAATCCAAGAAGTTTCTTGTAAGCTATAGATCTAATTCAATACTCTATCAAAGAGCAAGGACCTCCCTATTTGCATTTGTTTTTCATTTCCACAAGCTCATTTTTTCATACTTGTCTCAGTGGTCAAACAATATTCTAAATGGACCATAAAATATTCTCATTACTAAAATCTAAAGCCTGATTATTTATTATACTGATTGTTAGATTTAGTGACAACTATTATTTTACACCTTTTCATGTACCTTTTGCCCTGGCTCCATTCCTTCCATATGCTCTGATTCAGCAGACCCTTCCCCAGCTGCCATTTTCCTTTGAATGTGTGCATTTTGTTCACGCAAAGCTACAATCTGCAAAAGAAGGAAAATGTGGTAAATATATACAAGAAACCAGAAAACTACTGAGCAGACAATTTTTAATTCAATTTAAAATTTATTGAAAATTTAATCCTATGTTGGCCATTTGTAGTATTTGCAAAATTATGTCATTATATGCAGAAAGGTTTAAAACCCAAACATATTAATGATGTCTACAGGACATTATAGATACAAAGGAGCCCATAAATGACACAATAGTAAACACTGTCTTGTCCTCTATCCTTATTTTGGGGTGGGATATTTTTTTGCTTTAGCTTGAAAGGTGAAACACCAGTTAGCCATTGATTTTTTTTTTTAACACTGTGAGCACAAGACTTACTCTTTTATATAGAATTCAATGGATGCCAAACTGGTGCTATAGGAAAACAGTACCAAGAGACTGTGAATCAAACCCAAATGATGTAAAACAAAGTGCTAGTTTTCTGTCAGCGTCCCATCTGTTCGTAAAAGCAACATACGTTTTACTTTTTTTTTTTGTTAAGAAGAGCATATATGTTAACACCCTCTATTATTCACCATTTTAGAACATATACAAGTAACTTTTATTGTCTTTAAAATGTTGGTTATTTATTGGTAATGCTACTAATCATCCCATGCAGCTACTGGAAAATAAGCTGCTTTCTCTCTGTCTTTGTGGTTTACTCTCAGGCAATACACAAGATAGAAATATTTAGGTCATAACTGGTTTTTTTACATGGTATACTATTATAAGCTGGAAGACTGGGCTAAAATGAACAATTAATTTTGTTAAATTGAAAGTTAGATATCTCTGTATTGTTCTGCTTTCATGAGCACATACAGTAGATGATTTGCCTGATGACTAACATCATGAATTAAACACAGTAGAACATTGGCAGGATGTATAGATGTTGATTTTGGAACGCTGGTGCAAGTTTAAAGGCTTCTATTACTATATTTTTTTCTGCATAGATCCTGAGTCAGAAACACTCTAAAAGTGTCCTGTCCTAGAATACAAAAGCATGGGATAGGAGGGAGAATTTAAGGTAGTACTACCTGGAAAGTGTGTGCAGCAGCTAAGATTTTTGAGGGACATGTAATTGAATTTAATTTAGTTCTAACTGACATTAACATAAACTTATTTTGATATGAGTAATTTAATTTTAATTTGAAACTGTTTTCAAATGTGTTTTTTTTAAAATTATATTTAAGTGCTTATTGTGCCATTTGAATCACTCTGATCAACATTTTAGATCTAAGAGACACACCACTTTAAACAACTCTTCCTTATTATAAATGTAGAAAATTGCTGCAATATGGGATTCTCATGAGCAGGCTGATTCACTGCTCACTAAAAATTCCAAGTTACAGCCCTTGTAGAAGTCATATACTCCCACTGATTTCAGTGCCAAGACCAAGACTTGCAGGTGAAATTTCATCCCAGCAATCATAGGAAACTACAAGCGTGGGAATTAAAACTGTCTGAGACAATCTGTGTCTTTGGAGGTTTTACAAACACATTGAACCTTAAAATATTTTGCTCAAATAAGAAAATTACATTTGTCTCAAATAACAGAAAAAGGACTGCAATAATCTCATTAGCATAATCTTGCTTTGTACACATCAATCAGTAATTTAATATTTGTGGTTTGTTTTCCGACTCGCTTCACTCCTTTTTCTTTATGGTTCAAATAGTCCTCAAATCAAAAGTACTGAAATCATGGCTTCCACCAAACAAAATTAGCCATCAATTAGTGTTAAATGAGATTTTCAGGTACACTGAGATACTTCAACACACATATTATACAATTCTGATTGATRTAGACCAATTATGCATAATGTGAAAAAAGTAAAATCATAGGATCTATTAATTGACAGGCAAGAATAGATCTGAATTTTTCATATGATAATCTTTTGTTGATCCATTAAAAAGCGGACATCACTATGCCTTCATTTGGAATTATCACCTGTATCTAACACAAATCCTTAACACCCCTTTAGCTGAATAAGAATACCGTTTAAACACAGTGCAACACCTTGTTATTTCATCACACATTTGAAAGAGGGTAATTTTTCTTAGCCCCTATAGGTCTTTAGGTACCACAGAACCACCACTTTCCAAGCAAGTAAATAAATAAAATGAAAGAAACCAATTGTCCCTTTTAAATGACAGGCAAATAAAAGAATGCAATGTTGTGCATCATAATTTAGAGGGATTTGCTTGATTTTTTAATATTTGGGAACAATCACTTTGCCAAAGCCCCGTAATTGTTTAAYATTACAGTTTCAATAGTTTTATTACTGTAATGAATGCAGAGCAAATATATGCAGGAACAACAAAGAGTTTGAAGTCTGGCACATCGTAAAAGTTCCAGCTCTTGGGTAGTTCATCAGATAACAGATCTAAACTACAGCTAACTTGTTTTCATACTTGTTCTGTTCTTGATTTAATGAATATATTAAGGCAGAATTAGTGCTCCTAAGGAAGCATGGAAATTCTCCAGTGTCTTACAGATGAACATAAACTTTTGCTTTTCACTTTGTTGAAGCAAAAGTTTTTAGTTGCTGTCATACTCCTTTTTATTACTTACTTATTTCTGATTCAACTTTCAATAATGTGAAAATTATATTCAAATATGGTAATTTAATCACTCAACCATTTGAGTACCTTTTTAAACAGATTGCCAAAACATGGAAGAAGGGTTGATAATCTGTGTGAAGATAGAGATGACTCTAAATTTTTTTAGGTAGACTCCAAAATGTCTTAAGTTCTAATGATCATTACAACAGCAAACAGTAATAACAGCAGAGATCTAGGTAAGAAAATGATTGCTCTATGTAGATCAAATTTTGTTATATTAGAGAAATGTCTGCTCTATTGATACTTACATGTTTACAATACCCAAATTAAAATATCTACAATAAAACATGTCCAGACAGCTTTCCAAGTACCTATATACTACTTAACTTCTAAAATTAAATTCGTGATGGTTTCCATGCTATATTCCTTGTTTTGAAAAGTAAAAGCAAATATTTTTGAGGATGGCATCATAGCTGCCTAAAAAAAAACTTAACAAAAATCCCCAACCCCGCCACGCCACCCACCCCAAGACAAATTAATAGAAAAAAATAAAGTGGATAACTATATGGCAGAGACCAGTCTGATTCTTATTCATGCCTCAACATATGTTCCACGAGGTAAAAGATGGCTTCCGGGAGTAGTGTGCTTGCTGGGAGCTCTGTCCCTCAGAAGTTTTGCCTGGCAGCCACTCGTGGCACAGACAGCGTCCCCTGCTGCTCTGCAAAGCACCCGGCCCCTCTTGCTGGTGAGGTAGATGCCCAGATGCCCGGGAAAACAGCGTGCGGAAAAAACGCGCGGGAAATCATGCTATGGGAGGACGAGGCATATAAAAGCAGCGAACGGCGACACAACGGGGGCCATCTTCCTTTGGGGTTCTTGGAGGTAGCGGGGGCCCGCCTCGAGGGTCACCTTGGCCTCCCCCCGCTCCCTCGCTTTTCCTTTTCTCCMTGTGGTCCTGCCTTCCCTGTTCGCACCTGTCTTCTCCGTGTGCTCTGTTTCGCCGCTTCCCCGAAGCATCTCGACCCTGCGACAACTTCGTGTTTGCTGTTTTCCCGATGGAGCCGCCGCCTGCAGCAGCCGCCTGTCGTGGGTCCCGCAGCAGCCGCCTGCCCACAGCCGTGTGCCCGGCAGTGCCCGCAGCCCCAGCCTGCCCTCAGCCGCGTATCCAGCACTGCCCGCAGCCCCAGCCTGCCCGCAGCCCCAGCCTGCCCTCAGCCGTGTATCCAGCAGTGCCCGCAGCCCCAGCCTGCCCACAGCAGCCGCAGCTATCCCACGAGTGTGCCCGTAGCCACGGCACCGTGTTCTCCGCCGACGGGAGGGACACGCAGCCGCTGCTCTTTGGAAATCGCGCCCAGCCGCCTCAGGATCCGCGCAGGCTCTTCGCAGTTCGCAGCGCACACGCTCGTTCTGCCAACGTCGACGGGGTACCCGGGGTACAGCGGTTACAATCTGTCTGCTATTCTGTCTCTCTCCGTTTCTCCTTTTCCCTCTTTCCTATCCCCGCCTTGGTAGGAAATGGTAGGAACACTTACCCTTCTTTATCAATAAACAGTTCTCAGATATAATATTGCCGCGTTTGCGCTTTTTGTCCAAGAAATCTATTAAAAGAATCCTCCCCGACTCCCTCTTTCCAAGCGGGACGGGACACTATAATTATTCTATTTAGGATTATCCAAAATTGGACAATCAACCTAAACACTGAAATCCAAATAATACCTTCCAAAGTATGATCAAATATATCACATGTATCACATATTTTTGTCCTTATCAGCTTCTGCTTGTGAACCTCAAATTATTGGATTACATTTCTAAAATCACAGACATTATCTTCCAATTTAGCACACTTGATGTGGACCACAGTAATACCTTTCAATGTGACTCTAAACAAGAATAAAATTTCAAGTCTCTCCATAGTTAAGCCTAAAAATAGCTTCCTGTTCCAAGTCTAAATTTTGCTCACTGCTTTCTTTGCCAAGCTCATTCAGCAGAACTGAAAAGTTCTTTTTTATTCTTTTTGATTGAGAACACGAAGCAATCGTTGTCAGTTAAAGAATAAAATGCAGAATGTTACTTGGACCTTTCTAACTTTTATAGCTTAAGCCCATGAAATTACCCTCTAATCTGAAGAAATATTCCTTCAGCTTGTTCTCTTGTCACAGGCATGTTGATCTTCAGTATTCTCACTTTTGCATGTATTTTTATGCCTGACAAAGGACACCAAAACATTAAAGAATTTTCATAGATTTTGATTCTGTCTTACAGATGTCAAAGATACTTGGAAACAAAATTTCAAAGCCCTACTCTGTCATAATCATTCTGAACATAAACTTAAACAACTTCTGCCTTTCTGCCTCAACTATAAAAAATTCCAACATTAATAAAGCCCAGCTCTTTGAATTTAAAATTTTGGTAAATACCATCCACATAAATTCCCTCCACAATCTTAGCAGAATTTGTGTCCATTATCTACAGACAACATTTAATCATATATTTTTTAATGAAGTTAGGATTCAGAAATTCATACTCAAAATCTGAACTGGTCTCAATTTCAAAAAATGGCCAAATCTACATATCATGCCTGTACATTTAATAGTCTGGATCCAGGTATTAAGGAAATATTGACTTAAAATATTAAAATACACCACAGAATAGAAGATGAATACATAAGCTAGTGCTGATCTGATGAAGTACCTGACAGAGCCATAACATCAGCCATGGTGGTGAAAAGTACTGTGTAATAACATAACAATTTCATAATGAATAGAAATAACATGAGATGATAAATCAGTGAGCAATAGCATAAATTCTCTTTTACAAGGGAAACAGGCTGATTATTAACATCAGTAGGACACTAAGATACAAAAATGAAAGAAATAAAAGATTCACATGGTAGTTGAAAAGCTATAAAACTGTGAAGGATAACCAAAAGGGAAAGGAAGAACCAGGACACAAAAGCTGGTAAAAAATGAACTAGACTTACTAGACAAAATGAAAACACACTGGAAGACACAAGCTATACATGAAGATGCAATGGATTTATTCACAGCACAGTCTCTCATCAGACACAAAATGAAGCAGGAAAAGCACTACTCTATCTGTTTACTTTGGATATACTAAAAATTAATGAATTCAAAATTATTTGAGAGGAGTGAGATCAGAATCCATTTATAAACATACAAAATTCTATATGACCAGGTACCTCTGCTGCTGAAAATTGTTTGAGTGGCCATTTTTTACCTCATTAAAGTTTCAGGCTTCAGGTAACTAACTTTACTATAAATACTTAATATATTTCTCCATAAAGTGATAGGAAAAAGCGGGATGCCCTTAAACTGAAGGAGGGCAGGTTTAGATTAGATATTAGGATGAAATTCTTTATTTTTTTATGTCCCAATGCCTCATCACTTTATGAACAGATTGCCCAGAGACGCTTTTGTCTTTCCATTCAGCAATGCAGGTTCTGAGCTTTAAAGCCAGGTACATTTAAAAGGGCAAGTACAGGCTTCAGGCTTTATTTTCACAATAGCTAGAAGTTAAAATACCTATAGAACATACAGCATTGTAATCCACATTAGCCATACTTCAAAGGAACAAAACAGAAAAAAGCCTTTTCAGGCTGAAAAAAAAAGTCTGGGAGGCAGGGAATAAAATCATCAGCCCTAACAATTCACTTTGGGCTCATTTTGGGAGAMGAGAAACCTTTTTTGTCTATTTTTAAAAAACTCTGTCTTTTCTCCCATTCATCAGTATAGACCAAAAAGAATCAGTCAAATTTTCAAGTAGGGCTTTTTTAGCACAAAATTAACCTGTAAACTAAATGCTCATGTCTGACTGAAAACCTCAGATAGTTTTAGTTTCTATTCGCCTGCTATTTCTATTCATACACGCTATTAAGTGGCGAGCTTTCTAGAAACTTTACTGAGCTAAGTCCTTTGAAACCTGTCCTGACATGTCAAGAAAAATACTACTTAAATAAAAATCTGTAGGAGTTATGAGCAATACATATATTTTCAACAAATTTGCATAATGATTTTCTCTCTTCATTCCTTTTAGAGATTGCTAACCTTTTATTAATATTGCTGTTTAGCTTTCACTGTTATGGAGAAATACTAATTAAGGTGAAATCATCCTCATGAGGGAGCCTTGGTGATCAGACAGTAGTAGAAAATCAGACGGCAATGAGAACAAATATTGTCTGTTTGAGGGTAGATAGTACATTGAGCTCCAGCCCTCAGTTACACATCTTTCACAGTTTAAGTCTTTACCTCCTATGCTTCAAATTCTGTCAAAGAAAGCTAAAACCTCTTGCTTCTGCTTCTTGTTTATCTACTGCTTCTTGTTTATCTTGATTATTTTATCCTTAAGATCTTGACTTTGGCACTGCTCTCCATGATCATGCTGGCGCAATGGATAGCACTTTCAGACTTCACTTTCATGTTGGTGGAGTGCACACAATGAATGACAACGTGCAAAAATGACTGCAAAATGCTCTGAATCTGCAGCAGGTTCCTAATTTTAAATGGAAAACATGAAAATACTATGCCCATGGTTCTTTACTGTTGATGGCCTGTGCTTGTGATAACTATTGACAAGGTCCTGGCTATCAGTGATTTATTGATGCACCTGTGGAGGTCACTTGTGTTGGTGACAAGGGCGCTGTGGTCTGGGGGCACTGTCCAGCTGTAGCACTCAGCTGGCTGCAGGGCACTGACTGACCTGCTGTCTGTCTGCACCATCACTGAGCCCCAACTCCATCTGAACCCTAAATGTCTGGATCAGCACTCATTTTTGTACTTTTGAAGTAATAATACAGTTTTGGCTGGTAATGGTGCAGTTGGGTTTATTAGTCTCCTTTGTTTATTATGAATTCTGGACCAAACCGTTACCATGTAAATTCCTGCCTTGTGCTATTACAGGTACTTTAGAGCATGCACCATCTATTTCTATAGCAGCACTTAGAACAAGAGCAATTTAACACAATGGTGCAGGTGCTATTATGAAAAAGAGTATCTGTCAGGATTTTTCACAGATTACTAGGTGCATTTCAGTACATTTTCTGCAGAAACCCTTACCTAAGTAAACAAAAATGTGCTACTTCTAATTTGTCACAAAATTTGTATGAAATAAAATGCAGTAAAAGAACTGTCTTYTTATAAAGAGTCTAGCAGAATGGGAAAATAATAACAAATATCAATTGCATGGTTGCATTTTATTGTGTATTTGACACTTGCTGACTAATTTCTCTTGCTTTTACTTTTTCCTTACTAAGTTCAACAAAATAGTAGCAAAACTACTGTTCTTCCATTATTTCTCTAAGACCAGTATTCAAAATCTCAAGAATTCATTGGTAGAGTCTGATTTCCAGCTTGTCAGAGCTGAGGATAGATTTGGCAGAAATGTTATAATGTTCATTTGATTCAACARTATCTGAATTATTGAAACATGAATACATAGTGTACATTTAATATGTATGATGATATATATGCAGATATTTTTTGCGTCGAGGGCTTTATGTAGCTGCTCTTAGTACACAAAGCATTTAAATTAAAAGTACCCCTATTTAACATATGTAAGTCAATTTGAAAAATCCTGCTCTGTTTGAAAAACAGTGTTTAGCTATTTGCACTGCAAACCTGTTTTCCTCTTTTGGTTACATAAATATATGTCCCTATGACTAATAACAGTCGTCCCCAAATGAAATTTTGTATTCTTTGTCTGCATATTGTCACCCAGAGATTTGAGATTGTTCAGATTTATTTTGACTGGACATGTCTGTTATGAAAACCACTAATCTGCATGTATATTCAGTTTTATCACATTTTCCTACACAGTGTATCTGTATTAAAATCACCATCTGTTACTGAAAACATGAAAATACATGTTAGATAGGATATGAGAAATATCCAGGAAGGAAATGAACTTTATCCTAGAACTACAATTAAAAAATATCAAAGCCACGATCTGCATGTACAAACTGAAGAAATCCCAACTTGAATTTCAATCCCACTCTGTTGAAACTGAAGCATAGTAGAGTGAATTAAGGTTTTTTTTTTTGTTTGTTTTGGGGTTTTTTTTCTGACAGTTTTGAGGAAAGTGTCAGGGAACACATGGAACAGAGTATTAGAGAAATTTAACCTCAGAAGGGGAGAAAGTGTTTCATGTTACCTCCTGGTTAGCAGCAGCTAGTTCTTCTTCCAGTGCAGAGACTCTTTCTAAAGAAACCCTCAGTCGTTCCCTTACCTAGAAGAAAAATCAAAATATTTGCAGTAACGTAATTTCTATTAGTCTTTGAAGATTATATAACCTGCCATATGCTCTACTGTATGCCCTGCCACTCCATTTGCAGGCATGTGTGATGCACCCTTTCATGAAACTTATTGTGTAGTAAACATTTAAACCTAGCTACAGGAAAACTTAACCCATTAAAATAGGTGTCAAATTTTAAATGCCAAACTGCGTTTCAACAGTCTGCCCATAACTTTATGGAATACACAGCAAATGCAAATATTTGAAGACCACATTAGGCATAAGAATAAAACTTTCACAAACACATTTTACAAAAGATAAGGAAAAAAAAAAMCACATTTGCAGATGTTTTAAGTTCACTCCATGGAAGATAACTAATCTGTTTATGGTAACTGAACACAATAAATTCATTGAAAAATAACTTGCAGCATTGCCTTCAGGCACACATACTAGAGATTTATTATATCATCATGCATTTGTTTCAGTTTGTAAAAAGTCCTAAACTGCATATTCTCCTAGGCAGAAAATTACTCTTTGTTGGCACCAGTTTCATAAATAACTTATTCTGTTCTAAGGGTGGTTATGACTGCAATTCTTATTATTACTACTATTTTAATTATCACTAAATATTGATTATTAATATTAATACTAACTTAATACGGTGTCTGAAGATATATTCACTGCTGATTTGAGTGCTTAGTGCTCTGGCTTTTTGTCAGCTCATGTATTTCATGTCACCTAAGCTGGTAGTGGAGCTGCAGTCTCCCAGCACAATCAAAGGCCAATCAGACCTGAAATGACCTCCAGTGCTGTGTGTAGATGACTCCCTCTCCTGACTGTCAAGGGACCCTGTGACATCCCTAATCTACAGAACTTCTCTAGGCACCTCACAATAAATGATTTTACAACCTGGCTAATCAGTCAACACTTAAGGTATATTTCTTTACAGGTTCCATCTATATTGCAGCAATGCTGCTCCAGCTGCTGATCCACGGCGGTTTAAGGCTATTAGCAATGTTTGTAGGGTAAGGTAGTATACTCTATTAGGCCAAGAGATGTAGCTGGAAAACAAAGCAAAACAAAATCAGTCTTTCATATACAAAGAAACAATTTCATTGTTTTCATGTCCTTGACAAATAGAGGAAATCCCTAGAACACTTGCATATGTCCTAATGCTGTAATATTTTTTTTTTCCAGTGATAGCTCTTAGTCTATTAAATGTTACCTTTCCTTACATACTTCATCTTTCCCTTACTAATGATAGAAGTGAGACTTTGTAGAGTCATTATATCCCAGGATTGTATTAAACTTTAGTAGATTAAAATTATTCAGCAAAATTAAAACATAGCATGTCCACTTGACTTTAAAACTAAATTTAAAGGTGAAATATGTATTCAAGAAATGAACACTTCAAAATAAAACTATTCAGTCTTTCTAAAAAATACAAATATAGTTCCTTATTTAGGACTTCAAGTTTTTTGCTCCTCTTTACATACTTCATCTTTATTAAAACAACCAGTGAGGGGTATAGATTTGTCTTCAAGAGGCCCAATTTCAACCTCTCTAACCAAAATGGGAAGTGGTAGACAACAATTTCTTAACATAAATCTCAGATTAGATATAAAAAAAGACATGGAAAAATTACAGTCATGCATTCTGGCTTCAATCCTTTTGGCTGTAAGTGCTGCTTTGGGACAAGATGATTCAGAGAAAATTCACAAGCAGTTGTCAAAAGCCAAAATTAAATACAATGAGTTGAAAACTTTACTTGAYTTTTTTTTTTTTTTTTCTAAAACCTCCATGTGTTCAAGCCCAAGTGTTTTATAAAGGAAAATGTATTTTTAAAAATACATTAGAATATGTCTAACACTGACACTCACTTTAAATGGTGTTAGAATTTGCAAACCAACTAGGCCACAGTACTGAGGATGTCACAGSTCTACAAGGAGCTGGAATCAGAAGAATTATCCTTTAACTTCACACACTGTGGCACTGTAGAACTGAATTCTAGTGGGTTTTATGCAGACATTTTAGAGCCTGAAATCAGCACGCCCTGGAAACAATGGACAGCTCTGGAGACAAAGTTTTCATGTGACACTCCAGCAAAAATAGGTAGAGAATTAATATTTCTGTTCTGACTATCAAGCTATAATATTCAAATACATCTCTTTACATTCTTGGCCTGTTGTCAGTGACAAAATGGAGCAGTACCAGTGTAACACAGAGCAACAGGTGCAAGTAATTTCCTTTGTCCTTCCTTGTCTTGCCTTACTTTGCCTCCCTTCCATGCACACATTTAATACACTCCTTTTTTTTTATAATAGCCTAACCAAAATTGGAGTCTGATGGCTTTTATTTGTTCTCTGAATCTAGCAGTTGCAAAAGGAGCTGAATGCAACTCTGCCTAGGCACAGAAAGTATCTCTTTTCCTTTCATCTGACCAGTGAACAACACATTCAGATTCACATTTGTCATAGTGACATTGGAAATGTTGCAACTAATTCTTTATTTTCAAACATAAGTAACGCTGTTAAAGTCAAGGGAAACCTTTGATTTTATTAGTTAAAAAAAAGAGTTTTATCAGCACTCTGATCTTAAGGAGAAATCTGCTCTGGTTTACAACCCAGAAGCCATAAATTTCTCATCATTTTACGTTTCTTTCTCATGCATACACAAATGCATTGCAAATTATATTTTTATTGGATTTCCTCTTCAAATTTATGTTTACAAACAACAAAGAAAAGAAAAATCCCAAACAGAACTATCCTCATTTCTGAGAGATGCAGGAAAGGGTGCTGTTTCTGGTCACTATCTTATCAAAGTAAAATGAACTGGAAAAAATGCAAACTATTTTTATATGACAATTTTGGTTTTTTTTGTTTTTGTTTTTTGGGTTTTTTTCATATGATGAATGCCAGTCTGTGATTAGCATGTGATATTGTTTTCTATTTTCTGGAAGTGACAGTAAGTGAGTAACTATAGTTCAGAAGAAGTAAGTGAGATCATGTGTATCACATCAGAAGTTACACACTGCTTAAATTTCACATGATTCTTCAGTGTATTTCTGTTTTCTTGGGCACAGGATAGAGCTTTACTAAAAAAGTTTTAACAAAGACTAATCAGATGCCAACTATCTATCAGAAATGCTTTCATATGTATTTTTGAAAGAACAAATACTGGAAGATCTGGGGAGACCTTATAGCACCTTCCAGTTCCTAAAGAGGATTACAAGAGAGCTGGAGAGGGACTTTTTACAAGGGCAGGAAATGACAGGACAAGGGAGAATGGATTTTAACTGAAAAGAGGACAGATTTAATTTAGATATTAGGAAGAAATTCTTTACAGTGAGGGTARTAAGACATTGGAACAGGCTGCCCAGGGAAGCTGTCCCATTCTGGAAGTGTTCAGGGCCAGTTTGGATAGACCCTAGATCAACATGGTCCAGTGAATGGTGTTTCTGAACACAGCAGGGGGGTTGAACCAGGTGACCTTTAAATAGTTTATTCCAACCAAAACCATTTTTGTGGTTTTTTGATTGTAGTGTCACAGACACAGCAGAGAAGGGTTGCTCTCTCCATGCTAAAGACTSTATCCGACATATGCCTAGATGACTGGGTATTCTTCTGGCCTTTAAATGCAACCACATAATCTTTAAATGTAACACAGTCAATGTCATGTTAACACTGCTGTCAGTGCAAAATATCACCCATCTTTCTCTGTCTCCTAGCAACTGCTTCCCACTTTTTTGCTTGCTGTCAAATTCTTTCTTGATTCTCTTCAGATCTGCAGCCCACAAAGAGCTTTAAAAAAACCACTTGCCCACTAGATTTGAATCAATTAATCTATGCAATAAAAGTTCTCCTAGGTACCTGCCAATGAATAAAAAGATAGTGACAATGATGACATGAATAGGCTAATTTTATTTGCAATAATACTAAGTATACTATTTTGCCATTAATTAAGCTTACGAGAACCAGTAGTTTTTTTTTTTTCATTCTTAGCTAAAACTGTAACATCTGGTAGCTGTTTTCCACTGTGAAGATCAACTGTACACTTTTCTTACCACACTGACCAAAACCTGGATTTGGAGAAATTGCTTCAGTTTCTTCCTCAAAAATGCACATTTTAAATGTTCAATCCAAAATTTAATACAAAATAGAAAAAAATGTCTTCAGAACAACAATCATGTCAGACAGATATTAGAAGTCAACTGTAACTATAGAATGGCACAAGCAAGATAATAACTTCTCTATCTTTTGTCCTCCCTGAATTGCATCTACGGACTTTGTACTTCCCAATCTACTCTATACTCGATGCCCATTCTAACTATGAAGTTAACGTGAGCTTCTGTTTTTTATTCAGCTCTAATGACATCTAGGAAATACGTCTTCATTTGCTCTTTTAGAAACTATTCCATGTATATTCATATATAATATCACAAAATATTTCATAGTGCTGTCTTACATTAGTTCCACAACTTTTCATTGCAAGAGAAAAACCACAACAAAGAAAGCTATCAGCTACTTAGCAGCAGTAAGATAAGTGTTTGAGCATTAAGAAGGACAGAGGTGAATAACTGCAGGATTTCCACTTTATGAATAATGCTGTTAATGCAACAGCAAATGCTATAAGAAATGCTACATCAGAATTTTACACAGATCCTAGTTTCAATCACTCCTAAGTTGTAGTGTTTAAAACTTCATATTTTTCTAACACTTAGGTACAAGTGACACTTAGGTGACTCTTAGGTAAAAGTGACACTTAGGTAAAAGAGTCACTGAATTTTACTTCTAACATGATGAAAATGTAAAATTGATAGCAGCACTGCCCATGTCCTTTGTTTTTGTATTTCTAAATATGTTAGCATACTTAGATATACAAAAATTTTTGGAAATATGTATAGCTTCTGGAAAATTAAATCTCTAAATAATAGTAATAATAAATACAGTTAGTGCACTATCAATTTCATTTGTTGTGACACAAAAGGTAAAGGCAAAGCCCAGACTTCATGTAATACACAGAAAACCAACAGACTTTGAAATAAGGAATCATTCCTGATTCTTTTTATACTTAAGCAGGCCTGCCTAGAAATTGATATATTTTATTTTTCACTTTTCAATCTGTTGGTATGTTTCATTGCATTTTGTTATAGTAATGAGGATGGCTTTGTAGTTCTTGTACTGTGCGCATAGCAATCCTTTCATGATCAATCAAGTTTTGTGGCAGAGCTTGTTACAACACTTCAAGATGTTTTAGAGTAGGAAGTGAAAACATGGAAGGAAATTTGCATTCAGGAAGACTTTTAAGATTTTCTTCATGCCTTTTGTAAGTTTAAAGGGCAATAACTTTAATGAAAATATTTTCTTATGCTTTTCCAATAAAGTAAAAGCTRTATTAATAGTTTCAGCGTTTATATTTTATGTGAAGAAAAAAATTAAAGACAAGTTTGCATTATTCATTTGGAAAGGGTCATGATACATTTCCAGTGAACTTTTCACAGTTTTCACTCTTTAGCCATTAACCTACTTCAGCTTTCTGCTCATGTTCTGATGGGGCACTGTTTAATTGCTGTGACATCAGTTTATCTTTTTTTTTTTTTTTTTTGCCACAGCTTTACTGTGAGGTTCTGCCTGCAGGCCACCCCTGTGCACAGCAGCATTTTGTGGGAGTGAGGCTTTGCCCACAATACAGGAAGACAAGACATACATAAGCCAAAGGCTTATCAGTCAAAGTCAAAGATTGGCTCCATCCAAGGATGCCAGGAGACTTGGTCAGTTCATCATAGCAAGGCATTTTTAAACTTTGAAAGTAGGGGAAGTCCGGGAGATTCCTGATGAGTGGAAAACTCACAAATGTTTCATCCATCATCATGAAATAGAGAAGTTATCCTGGGAAGATCCAGGTAACTACAAGCTAGCCAGTGTAGGGAAGGTTATAGAGCAAATCTTCTAGGAACCATTCTCGGGCACATAAAGGATGAGATGGTGATTGGGGACAGCCAGTATGGCTTTGTCAAAACCAAATGATATCTGGCCAACCTCATTCTTGCCTTGCATGGTGAGAGGACTGGTTCCAGGGATGAGGAGAGAACAATGAGAGAACAGTTATTTACTTTGTTTTTACTGAGGTCTTCTGCAAGATCTTCCATTTATCCTTTGAGAAAATGGTGAGCTACGAATTGGTGAAATGGATTCCACAAAAAAATGAGTGGACTGCAAGGAACAGAGGTTTGTGATCAGTCATGCAAGATCTGTGTGGAATCCCATTGCCACAAAAGGCATAATTCTAGATAATGAGACAGACTTGCTGAAGAGAAAACAGTTTTGCAGAAGAGACCTAGTGGTGAATAAGGCCAGCACATAATTTGGTCAGTGGCTTGGAGGAAATTATTACTTCCCTCCAGACTTTTGAGACTGCATCTGCTTTTGGGCTTCCTGGTAGAAAAAAGATACTGGCAGATTTTAGTGAAGGCACAAGTTGGAGTCCACCAGGAGACGTGGAGGAAACAAAGCCAGCTTCCTCTTGCAGATGCAGAGGGACAGGACAAGAGGGAACTGGTGCAACACTCAACAACAGAAACTCCAGATTGGTATTACGAGAGAAAATTACAGGGAGGGTGGTGAAACACCAGAATAGGTTTTCTGCCTAGAAATATTCAGAAGTTGATGAGACAGGACCCTAAGCAACCGGAAACAGTTGGCCCAGCTTTGAGCAGGAGATTGGGCCAGATGTCTCCGAGGAGGTCCAACCCACATTGTTTTACTAATGCCTGAAAAGCTTCAATGCATTTTTATAGGTGGATTGATATCTTATTTCTGAAAGGTCTGAAACAAATCAAACTTACATAATTTTTCTGTCACCATGCAGAATATATGACTCACATGCCATAAAAAAATTTTAGCACATTTGGGTGCATGCAGTCTTTTTTACTTTCATTATTTTTAAATAAAAATCACCATAATGCTGACAATTTGTGAAAGTATTATATTATCAAGTAACTGGGTGGTATATGCAATGTCTTTGATCCAATCCTTCCAGAGACAGTCTAACAAAACCAGGTATTTTTATAGAGGATTTGTACTTGAAAAAAATGTGTGCTGGATTTAAACAAATAATTTTAAAATACTTTATTAAACTGTTTACTTGGCTTATATCATATTTTTTATCATACAAATATGACTTATTGCATCAAAATAAAAAAGGTTTCACACATAATTAGATAGCGTGTAGGAAAAAGGAATTTTGGCCAATCAGTTTTAAAACTTGTTCTGTAATCATAATCTGTTATTATGGTTGACTTTTCTACACTGGTAATTGTCTTTACCACTGGGACAGGAATCCATTACATACATCAGATATCTACCTGTGTCATTCCAAAATTTTTTAATGTGCTGAATACTGATTTCAACCTGTTACATTTAAAATAATACAAGACTTGATTTCTCAACCATGTAAGTCAAAATTTTCGTAATAGAAGTCAAAATATTACATGTAGCTTCAATCTTATTCTGCACAACAGTTTTCAAAATGGGATGTCAAATAAACTGCATAGTACCAAAACACTGCAACATTCACAAAAGAAAATGTGAAAGAGGTACATAACTGTTGAATAATCAGAATCTATTTCAAGTTTAGTTCTTACTATTTCTCATACTTATCCAACACAATGTCAAAAAGTATAAAAGCTGGAGAGATCCCTACCCTAGTTTTATCAGTGTTTAAAGTGCTGGATAAAAGATCAAAGCTCAGACCATAAACCCCATCAATCCTCAGAAGATCTTTTTAATACTACAGGATTTTTTAAGTCTTAATGACATTCAAAAGCTTATTACAGTGGCTAGAAGTCATTATATTTCCTTACTTTTCTAGATTTTCGTTAAAGATGCTTTCATGATATCTGAATAGAACATATAACCCAAAATATATACCTAAACACATAATAAGTTTTGCCTCGGTGTAAGTTCCTTACATTTATTTAACTTCGAACCTTACAGTTCACCCAGTATGACTCACAACCCACAGTGTCTCATCCTTTCATTACCAATGATAAATGTATTGCTATATATCTACAGCTACCTCATTTCCTTAAATATAGTCAACTCTCTGAGCATATATCTGAGTTTAAAAAGGTTAAATTTATTACTGTGAGATCATTAAACTGGTTGTGTACAACACAGCTCATCCGTGCAGTTGGTGGTTTCAGATGATGTGCCGCACGTCATCCCTGCGTACCCAATCATCTCACAGAGAGAAGCAACTCAGCAGCAGCAATGAGCAAATCAGCCCAAACAGACCCCATAAGAAATGAGTTTCTTTGCTCATAAGCCATGTTTCTCACATTGTCCTTGCATGTATCGCTTTGAGGCACTTACTAATTCAGAGACATCACCTCTTGAGCATATTGTTTCTAGACACGAACCAGATTTCCGAATTCATATAAGCAATACTCAAGGTGGTAATTCATAGCTGTACAAAGTTTCATTCACACAAAATAGTCTTTCCAGCACATGAGGAATCCAATGGAAAGACCCTCTTATTTAGCTTGGCTTGGTGCTTTTATCAGTGGTTTTTGCTTTGATTCTGCAGGCCTTTCATTACCTCTGATAATGAAGGATGCACCACTTATTTTAGATTATGCTATTTGTAAAGGGAACACTGCCCTTATGTAATAAAGGCTTAAAAGATCTCCGAAATTTCAGAAGTTTTCCTCCTAAAAATATCTTAAGAGCCAAGTTCCCTTATGTAGTTAGGAACATCTCATTCTGCCTCTCTGTGTGTTTTTAAAATTTGAGATATACCTACATTTTCATGGCCATAACTTAAAAGCATATTTTACACCCAATAAATTCCACAGGGTTATCTTTATTTAGTGCTAAATAGAAGCATGTCTGGTAGGGGTAAGATTTGCTTATTTTGAAAAGTAATTTCTATTGCCTACAAAAGATAGCTGAAGTGACCTCAAGTGCATTGCAGCTATTGGCCAGCCGTTCTTAGATTCCTCTGGATACCTGTAAATACTCTATAAGAACAGGATTGAATCCAAAGAGTAAAGAAAGAGTACTGTGGCTGTGCTGCATCACAAAGCATAATTAAGCAAGTTAAAGAATGTATTTAGTAAGATTTTTTTTCCATACTATACCTTTTCATCCAAAGCCTTATGGTGCTCAAACAGAGATTTCAGAGCTTTGAGGACCTCAACTTCACTGGAAACCCCTGAGGGAGACTGTGCTTGCCGTTTCACCACTGTCATCCTCAGGGACCTTTCGTGTCTTGAGACAAGGCACTCCAAATGTTCCAGTAACAGCTATTGGATTTGAAATTAAAAATTATTAATTTCTGTCTACCTAAATGCCACAGAAATTCAAATTACAAAGTGCATGATACCAAACTGCAATTTTCTTGGCAACCTCATTGTAGGATAGATTGCTGGAACTATTAGCAATAATTCATGTTTTAAAATAAGACTGAATAAATGGAAAAGCAGAAAATCTTCTCATTATTTCCCTTAAAACTCTGCTTTGAAAAGCAAGAACGACAAATCACTAAGCGTACCGTCACTATTTAATTAATTACAAATTTACATTATTATTTGTGGTAGTAATTGATGAGCATTGACAACCAAATGACAACCAAAGACAGCCTAAGGAATCATGTAAAAATATTAAATAAGTTAATCATTAATTCAGACTAGCTGTAATATATTTTCAATTTAACAAAATATGTAAAAGTGAAACATATATTTTACTAGATTTTTACGACTATTCATTAGAAATACCACAGGAAATGATGCTTGTCACTAGCTCATGCTTTAAAATGTTCACTGTTGTATTACAAACATGCTTGAAACTCAGAAAAGTCCATAAATATCTGTAAAATAGCCTGTAAATAACATATTGTAAAACCTTATTATAATTATTACTCTGAGGTTAAAGGAAAAATTAAAATGGGATGTTAATGTTGCATAGAAAATTCCGTTTGTTTATACTTTCATAGTGTTACCATTGCTGTTCTTACTGCCTGAACATTAAAGAGACCTAGCCTTAAGGTTAAATCAGGATAGTTAAATTCATGAATCAGAATGCATGTTAAATGTATTGTAATTACAACAAATAATTATATCTAAGTCATTGAACTGGAAATCTGAAAGTTACATGGATAATTGTTTATTATTTCTCCTGTGATGTGGCTCTTAATATAGCTACTATTAGTAAATATATATATATTTATCTGTAATCCACAGTTATTTCAGTCACATAATGGTTTTTATTTTTACATAAATTAATAGACATAGAAGAGCAAAAGCAGAGGGAAATTATATTAAAGTTGCAGTATGTTGATATAAAGTCAGAAATGATTAGGGTTTGGTGTCATCTTTGCTTCAAACATGGTTCTTGGATTTGCACCTGGTTATTATGCAACAATAACTATATCCTTGATAAAAAGCAGTGAGCATGTATGTGAACAATGCTAATAAAATGAGAGTTGTCACGACTTCCAGTTCAAGAAAGGAGGGTCTTCCTATCATTTCTGAATCCGAGTGGTGCCCTGTATTTATGAAACTCAAGCAAACAAGAAATTCACAAGCTTTCTCATCCCTGTAGGGTTGACAGCAGATATAGATGGATTTTTAATTATTTGAGGGAGTCCAAAGCAGCGCACAAATTTGACGATACTTCAATGACAGAGCCACCATGAATTTATAATAGGGCTGTGGGAAGTTTGCAACTTAGAGGAGATGAGAATATTTTCCAAATATTTACAGAGTATTTCTCTTCATAGTAGTACATAAATAAATAGATAATTGCTATCAGGAATAGAACTGAATTGCTGAATTTTGTTCTAAATTCTTGCATTTTCATGGCTTTTCTCAGCCACCTAGTTTATCTGGGAGACAGTTGGAGGAGAGTAAGTTAATAGCTGATTTCTAATTCTGCAACCTACTCTCTGCCCCATCTCTTCAAAGAGTCTGTGGGGGTGCAACACTTCCTTCTCTGTGAAGCCTGACTCTGCCCCACTCCATAGCACCAGGGTAGCCAGAATCTGACTAAACCATGCCGTGCACTCAGATTTCCCCACAGTCACTCCCATATCTGGGCTGATTTTATTAGAGCCTGCCTCATCCTAATCTGTTCTCTTCCTGCAGAAACTTTTCAACACATCATAGTTAAGTCTGGATCAGCTAAATCCAGCCAAAAGGCTACGGATTTCTGAAGAAGTGGGGAAAAAAGGGAAAATATTGATCCACATCTGAGTTTTTAGCATATAACTATTCATTCCATTGGTCTGTAGCTGTCTAATTCTCAAACTGAACTCATTAAACCAGTCCAGAATAGTAAAACCTTGGCAACCTTTTTTTCAGCCTAACTCTGAGCACATTTAATATTTGGTGTCCTACTACCCTAACTGTCTTATCTCCCAGACAAATGCTATGATGATCAGGGACTTCTGAGAGCCTGCATGCAAATCTTAGTTGGAAGGAAAAATGAGAAAATCTTGTTTAGGAGAGAAGTGATGGTGACATGGAAAGACTTCCATGACAGAAGGAATTCCATATAACCTATAGCAGAAAGGTAAGTAAGGAACACACAAAACCCCTCTAACACACATCCAGAATCTCATTTTGAACTGGGGCAGACAGACAATCCCAACAGGGAATTTGAAGTCAGCATGGACAGAAGATGAGAAACTTGCTAAGCAAAGGCAGAACAGTGATTGAAGAGAGTGATGAAGAGACAAAACTGAGTTAAACGAAGTTTTTAAGTATAAGAAGTGAGCAGAGAGATGGGAACTCAGAATTTCTAATGGGGTGATTGTGGAGGAGTTTGCTATTTGAGATGAACAGTACAGCAACCTAGGCTTTTGCAGAGCTGCAGATAATGTATTTAACTTTAGGTTACGTTACTGCCATGTTAGAAACATGCATAATACATAGTGCTACACCAATGACAATCTCCACTTAATATACATAAAAGCCAAGTTTGCTTTTTAGCTTAACTACCATTTCAGAGGAGGAAAAAGCATATTGCAATGCCTGCATACATTTCATAGTTGTTAAATAAATCAAGTGCAAAATGCTGTGTTGCCTATTTTACTGTATAAAGACAGATGCCACAGCTGAATATCAAAAGATCCATGAAGAACTAAAACAGTGCTTGTGAACATTTCATACTTTTTCTCAGTATTTTATTGACTCAAGCTATTCTGTTTGCAGTTACTCATTCCTCTGGAAACTACCTCTGAACATTGGAATTTTCCTTACCATCAGCTCTAGGAATGCTCAAGAAGGCATGCTAACATGGGTGTCTAGTTTCTAAAAAAAATTCTTGGCTTTTCAACAAAAATCATCTCTATTTCTTCAGAAACTCTGTGAGCACTGCTTACAGCAAAGCCTGCTGAGCAGGGAATACTATTAAACTGATTTCTTAGTGCAAGATCACTCCCAGTTCTGCTGAAACAGAAAAACTCAAGGGGTAGAACATCTGACTGTAACTGAGCACCTGATAGCAAATCTTTGGCCCCTGCTCTGATAAAATGTTAGAATCACAGAAAAGTAGAGTTGTTTAGGCTGGAAAAGACCTCTAAGATCATTAAATCCAAACATTTATCCAGCACAACCAAGTCCTCCACTAAACAAAGTGCCCAAGTTCAACATCTACATGTCTTTTAAATACCTCCAGGGATGGGCACTCCACCATTCCCCTGGGCAGCCTGTTCCAGTGCTTGATAACCTTCTTGTTGAAAAAAAATTTCCTAATACCCAACCTAAAATTCTCCTGGTGTAACTTGAGGCCAATTTCCTCTTTCCTATCACTTGTTACCTGTGAGAAGGAGCTGATGCCCACCTGGCTACAGCCTCCTTACAGGTGGTTAAGAGAGTGATAAGGTCACTCCTGAGCCTCTTTTTCTCCAGGCTAAACACCCCCAGCTCCCTCAGCTGCATCTTGTAAGACTTGTGCTTCAGACCCTTCACCAATTTTGTTGCCCTAGTTTGAACATGCACTGCAATTGCTGTTTTATTCAACTTTTCCCCAATTACATTAAAAGAAGGGGTAGTAGGTCTTCCCGCTTTCCTGGGAAGAGCAACAATAATGACAGAATTATGAAGTGTCTCAGGGCTACAGTGGGGGAAGGGACATATAAACATAAAAAACTGACATTGAAGATGATGGTGTGCCCAAATGATGTTTAACAACTGAAGGAAATCACAGTAACTTGTGGGCATGCTGAGGACTTTCCTCCCCAAGAATTAATATTCCAAATAGTTGTGGGAACACCAACAGGATTTCACACTGAAATGACATTGTACCAATACTGGTAGTTCGTTTAAACTGCAAAAGAATTGTAGAAACAGCTTTAGGGATTTCAGTAAGTTGCAATTAAACTCTGGCATTAATAGCGATCATGAGCTGCTGAGCATTTTCTGCTCCCTCACACTGTGTCAAGCTGTTACAGTTGTCAAGCACTCAGAGGGACAGGCAGCTTGCAGAGAAAAGGAGATGAAGATCAACAGCAGCAGGTAGGACAGAATCACCCACGCATCACTGCTATGCTCTTCGTAGTGGAAAGCATAAGCTTGACAATGAATTATGAACTAATCTGACAAGTGATTTTTACTCTTATGCAGGGTAAATTTTAGGATACTCAAGATGCCGTGATGATAATTGTTTCTTATGTAAGTAAGATTGTTTCTGGAGCTCTGGACTTTCTATAAGCATAAAAAAGGTACAAAAATAATAATAATAATAAAGATTGAAAAGTGCTCTCGTGATTTTTTTTTATTTAATGAAACATCTTTAAAGTGTTAATTAGAGCTAAATAAACAAGAAAAGAGAAAAATTTTAGAATATACCCAGCTTCCCGTATTTCTCAAATCACTTACAAAGCTGTTATGGAAATGATCAGTTTCTGTGAAATGGAAATGCATGGTTAGATTTAATGTATAAACTACATCAGTGTAGATTATCACTTACTCTGCTATAAATACACCATACCATCATGACTGCATGGACACTGATTGACATATGGAAAGTGAAAGATGTGAAAACATTCATTTTTAGGAATGATGGCTCAATAAGTTGAAATTAGTGTGACTCAGCAGTTTGCATGATCACAGGACCTGGATTTTAATCAATATAAAATATTTTATCTTGACTTCCATTATTTTCAAAAAACTTGTTTGTAAAAAGAAAATTTCACAGCAGGATAATAAATGGAGAAATTAAAGAATAAGCAGATGGTAATGAAGAGAAAAGGAGAGTCATAAATAATGAAATAAAGGGAAAAGACATAAAAGAAAAAGCTTTT